TTTAAGCACGTGAATCTGACAGTTATTATTTTTGCTTAAATTCTAAAGATCTATTATTTATGCTTTAAAGTTAAAATTTAATTAATCTGAATAGAACTTAGGGAAAGCTTACAAACCTCACCCTCTAGATTATTAGACTCAGGAAGAGCTTACAAATCTCAGACCCATAAGTCAACTTGTTAATTAAATTAACAACCATTGTTCTTAAATACTTGTGTTTGTCGTCATAAAAAAGGGGGGGGGGTTGTTGGAACAAAACTGGTATGTACCACATCCCTTAGATTTTGATGATAACAAAGTATTTGAAGAACAATTCGGTATACTAATATTTGTTCAAATATAAGACCATATACTACAAATTCAAGAATAAATTAAGTATTGGTTATGTTATTCAACATCTAAAAATAAGCATAAAGATCAAAATATAAAGGATTAGAAGTCTACTTCTAAAAACCAGACTCCGAGGATGTCAACATTTGTAGATCAGACTCTGAAGAAGTCAGCCTCTGAAGACCAGATTTTGAAGAAGCCTTCTTTTGAAGATCAGAACCTAAAGCATGTCAAAACACAAAGATCAAGGTGACTATAATAGGCCACTCTCAGACTCTATGGCTATTTTGTCTACTTTTGATCACATGAAGACCAAAGCTATTTTTTATATAGGCAACTGAGACACAACAAATATTTCCTTTTGTAGAGAAGGGATTTCAAATGATATTTCAATGACATTAACCATATTAAGAAACATCTCAACATCCTTGAATTAAGATTTTCAAAAACTCTCTTGTGCAAACTCTCCAACGACTCTTTTCTTTCTTTATATAAGAAGTTGAAGACTTGAAGAACCATAATGAAACTATTGACATTCAAAGAGCTATTACTTCATCAAAACATAAACATAAATTTAACTTGGTATTTCTTATACTTGCAAACTCTCAAAGGCCTTTCATAATCCTTGAGAGAATACCCCTGTCGGGAGATGTTCGTAGAAGCCTCCTAGAATGAACTAAGGGCCAAACATTTAATGAATAATTCACATAAAGGCTTGATATTTCCATGGAGGAAGTAGCGATGCATGTAGAATTCTACGTAAAGGTCAAGGAGAGCAACATAGAGAAAAAGGCATGAGATGTTAAGGAGCAGATATTTGGAAATCCTGATGCCTCGCAACAATCGTGTAAAAGCTATTATACTCGCCTGCTAGGGATAAGGCGTTCTTCAAGCAGACCAGGAGGCATACAAAGAACTTCACATCTTTCCATAATAAACCAAAATGGTAACATAAATAAACAAAATGCGACACCAAATGCATTGCCCTCATTTCCTTATCTCGAACATCCATGTCCTCCTGGAAAAGTGTGGTCAAATCATCCTATTTGAGAGACATCAATTATTGCATTTAAGGATCTTCTATTGACTTCACATTCATAACATTCACTTCATACACACCTGACTGTTGAATATGGGCCTCAACCATGGTCGTTCTCTTCAACCTTAAGTTGTCTTGATATCACCTCCAAGCAATCACTCAATCACCTTGGACAATCTCAATACGTCAGCTGACTAACATATAATCATATACAGATACAATATGGATAAAACGGCTCCCAAGAGATTGAAAGTAAGCTAACCTATGGTCATGTTATACGAGGAAGGATGATCTATCACGAGGTACCTTACTTTGATAGTCTCAACACTCTCCTTCAGCTCAAACACGATTTTTAGAGTAATAAATCCCTTTACATGCACCTAATCACTAGAAAAACCAACTAGTGAACCTTTGAAAGCTTCAAGGTCATTTAGATATAGGATGAGTCTTTCGAAAGCATCCCAATAGAGAATGTTTGCAAAACTCTCTAAGTCGATTAACATGTGTTTGATTTCTAAATTTGCACACCTTATAGTTGTGACCATGAAATCATTGTTACATGGGTGGATTACAACGATGTACTTTCCTAAGAAGATGATCTCAAGCTCTATAGTCTCCTTCACACCCATATCAAGGTTGGAAGGTGAACCTTTTACAATCATGACTTGACAGACATATCTTATATGAGCGGAGCAAATTTCTCCACACGTATAGAACCATCATGATATAATGTTAAAGGTATGGCGCACAAGCCTTAATTCACCTTATTTGCTTGACTTATTACCCTTATTGGACATGGGGCTCCCAGTGGGATCATGCCCTTGAGATACAGAGCCACACGGGGATTGGTGGGAGCTTCATCAAACCTATTTTTTCAAGTAACCTTCTTGAATGAGATATTCAATCTCTTTCTTGAACTAATAACAATCCTCTGTGAGACGACCCTTAACTTTATGATACTTGCACCACATGCTAGGCTCATGTCCCATAAGGTTAGAGTCGGGGAATGACAAAGGAGGAATGTCGTGGGTGTGGATAACCTCACGTCATATCTGTTCGCGAAGAGTGTTTAGGGGCGTGCAATTCTCTACAGGTTTCCCACTGCGCATGAAAATTGATCTATCCATAATAGGAGAGGTTTGTACCGTTGTTGCCACAAGTTAGGATTTCCAGGAACCCGCTTCTTGACATGCACTGCCTTCTTCTCAGTGTTGCTTTCCTCACTCTTTATATAGCATTCGACGCGTAACACGATTTTCGCCATTAAAGCAACTGGTCTCTGGCGCGAAGGATTCACTAAAGTTCTTGACCCTTAATCCATTAGGAAACTCTAACGAATATCTCTTAGTTCAGATGAATAACCTTGATAGTCGCCTTATTGAAACGAGTGAGATACTCCCTTAAAGATTTTGAAGACTCCTAATAAACAATGAATAAGTTGATGGTGGACATCTTCTTGTGTCTGATCGCTGAAAATTGGTGGACTAACTTCTTCACCAAGTCTTGATAACTAGTGACTGACAAATGTGGCATACCCATGTACCACCGCAATGCTGTGTCCCTAAAGGTTTTGGAGAGGAAATTTCATTTTAAATACTTTAACGCTCAAATGATCACCATCTGTGTGTTAATGGATGCGAAATGTTCTTAGGGGTTGCTTCTTTAATCAAACTTCGCAAGCGAGGGCAACTTGACGTTGTTTAGTACACAGGCTCCCCAAATCTTATCGAAGAGAGGTCGACGATCCAGAATTTCCGTGTCCTCAACATGATGTGACTCTTGCCCGTGTTGTTGGAGGTTAAATGCATCATCCTCCAATGTCAGGTTGTGGCGATGTAAATCGTCCATATCAACACACAATTATGTTATTTGCTCATGGTCGTCGCCGAAGTTGCTGTTGACCGAAATAGTTACTCGCTTATTTACCATATTGGGGGAAGATGGTGGAGGTGAGCGGTGGATAGACCGTTGATTACAAGGGTGGCCCAAATTAGTTTTACTAGGATCCACGATGGACGCCGATTATACTTGATAAAAAGATTAATGAGAGAGACAATCTTTAGTTGTCTAAAGATGTATAAGGGTTTATTGATTTTTGAGTATTGTGAGAGCCCACGTGCACACAGTTGTGGAAAGCTTCTATGTATGTTTATGAGAGAATTTTGTTATCCCTTTCTCCTTTTGTAAACAAAAAAATATATAAAAGACCCTGTGGACTTGGATCCGAGGCCCAAATGAGCGTTTTCTACTTCTTTCGATCAATGATGATTGAGTGGGGGTCTGAGTCCGCTTTTGGGAGGAACAATTATTCCTTATTCCTTTACCTATTCCACACACGCCATGTATCTCATCGACTATGTCAGTGGGAGAACGTGACTTAATTTTGACAACTAAGTTCAAGCCTAATGTAACGACTAGCTTTAATCAATGACAATCACGTGTTTCACTCTGTTATATTTATATTTTAATTTTTTTAAATAATATAATAGACGATTAATTTTTTATATTAAATAACCGAGTAAAGAGTGTATATCCATTAAGCTCTTTTTCTATAATGAATTCCTTAAAAAAAATCTTTAATTTCCCACCATATCTTTGGCAAATTATTTGGGACAACATATTCCCTCCACATTATCCCAAACAAACAAAAAAGCAATGTAAACTAACAACTCCATAAAAAGGACAAACAACAGCATATTCGGATTCTACACGACTGCGAGAGCGAAGGCGAGTCCACGAAATCAATTAAGACCAATTCACCCACTCACATCTCGCCACGTTTCACACCAAACAAGATTACCATCCAAACTTTTTTAAGCCGCCACGCGATTTCTCTCTCTAAAAAAAAACCATTCCTCCAAAAACACCGTTGCTCTTCCCCGCAACCTCTCCCGGTAACCCTCTTTTTCTCTCCCAATTCTCTCTTTTTATTTCAAAGTCTCGATTTTTATTCTCATCATATAGGTTAGTTTCTGCATCTTCAATTAGGTTTTTCAATTGTTCGTTTCGTTTATTTATAATAATAATAACAAACCCTTATTTTGTTGATCTGAATTTCCGTTGTTTTTCCGATTCTTCAGTTAGATTCGATCTTGTTATATGTAATACTGCGTTTTATTATTGTTTTTGATTCCTTTTTTGCCTAACTTTTTAAAACTGTTTTATTAAGATTATATAATTTGAATAATCCCCTTTTTTGTTGGTGTTTTTATCTTCATGGTAATTATGTGTGTGATTGGTGGTTACGTCTGTAATGGTATCATATTTATGTTTTTTAGATTGTATTTGAGTTCTATTTGTTTTGTTGTTTTAATTTTGTTTCCTTTTTTTCTGGTTGAGTTGAAACATAGATTGTCAATTTGGATCTTCATGAGTTCAACAATCACTGGAGCATACTTGGTTTCCTGTAATTCGGGAAACAAGAACAACGGTCTCTTCTGCTGGATTTTGATCTGCTTGCTACCGAAATTCTTGGGAACTGCATTTGCATACATCAACTTCCTTCTCATTCAGGCTATTGATAGGAGTCCATCTGCAGTGAGGGTTGGTTTGATTAACGGATAGTTTTTTTTGTTGGTTTGGTCATCATCATTGTTAGAGATTTGAGCGTTTGTTTTGTAAGTGGTGAAAAATGGTTTCCTCTCAGTTTTCTGGTATGAGTGTGGGTGGCATGTGTAAACCGTTGCTCTTTCCTGTTAATGATCCTGGTACTGTAACCACGGATCACGTTGAGATGGATTTCTCTGATGTTTTTGGTCCTCTTACTGTTGAAGTCAATAGCAATGATAATCATTCTTTTGATTCTGTTGATGAATTGAGCGAGCTGGTTTATGATGACCCAGAAGTCATCTTTGCTCGTTCGCATTCTTTGGTTGGTCCTTCTAATTGTGTTAGTCAGTCACTTAAACTCAGTAAGCTCACCATACACGAGTCTGACTCGGACAATTCGTTGGAACTAGTGGAGAGTGTTACTGAAGAGACCATTGAAGACATCAAAGAGGTTATCAATGAGGAATCCTTGAATGATGAAGACAGGAGCCTGTTGGAGATCCAAAGAGTTAGCATTGATGATTTTGAGGTTTTGAAGGTTGTGGGGCAGGGTGCATTTGCTAAAGTATATCAGGTGAGGAAAAAGGGCACTTCTGAAATATTTGCTATGAAGGTTATGCGGAAGGATAAGATTATGGAGAAAAATCATGCTGAATACATGAAAGCTGAGAGGGAGATTTTGACAAAGATTGAGCACCCCTTTATTGTGCAACTTAGATACTCTTTTCAGGTAAATTTTTTTTTCTTCAAATTTGTAAAATAGTTTGTGTTAGTATCTCTCCTCCTCTTCTGTAAATGATTCGTTTTGAGTGTCCTAGATTTTCAAAATGCAATGACACCTTCATTAAGTTTCTTCCCACTTTAATGTATGTCATTGAATGTGTTGCCCAAATTTTAATTTCAAGGCATGTGCTTTTTAAAAAAAAATTATTAATACCCAAAATTGTATTCAATGTTAATTGTAAACCAGTTTTTTTTTTTTTTTTGTCATTTGGCTTACATAATAATATAGTCTGTAAAATAGAACTGACATGTTCTGTACATGTTTCAGACAAAATACAGATTGTATCTTGTGCTGGATTTCGTAAATGGGGGCCATCTCTTCTTTCAGCTTTATCACCAGGGCCTTTTCAGGTAAGTTTAGCTTTGAGTTGTCGCGTCTAATGTTTCAAATTTAATTTGCAGCATTAATGTTTGGTTTTATTCTTTATCTATTAATACGCAGAGAGGATCTTGCACGCATATATGCCGCTGAGATTGTTTCTGCAGTTTCCCATCTCCACTCAAAAGGAATAATGCACAGGGATCTAAAACCTGAAAATATCCTTATGGATGTCGATGGCCATGTACTTTGCTGTCCCTCCTCACTTGTGCTTTTCATACCAACATTTTACTCTGCTTTGTACATTCCATAACTGACCTGCGGTTTTTTGTGGTTTGTCTCCTAGGTTATGTTGACTGATTTTGGCTTAGCAAAACAATTTGAAGAAAGTACAAGATCTAATTCGATGTGTGGTACATTAGAGTACATGGCACCTGAAATTATTCTTGGCAAGGGCCATGATAAGGCTGCTGATTGGTGGAGTGTAGGTGTCTTACTGTTTGAGATGCTTACTGGGAAGGTTTGTATCTTGTTTATTATTAATTTGTATTGGATCTGTCATAGCTGGATGATTCTTTGTTGTGGGTTAAACTTGAAATACACCAAAACTTGGCTTATTTAGGCAACTAAATAAGTCAAGTTAGAACTTAGAAGTGTATTGGTCTTTAGGCCAATGTCAGTTTTAGTAAATTTCTACAATTGGGACCATGCATGTTTTTTGGTTAATTGGTTCAATTTGCTTAGTTATAGGAATACTATATGCTTGTAAAATGTAATAACCTGGTAATTGAAAAACTGTGAGGTTTGTTTGGAGTTGCTAAAATTGATTGTTTCTGTTTCTCACCCTCTCTGCAGCCACCCTTCTGTGGGGGGAACCGTGAGAAGATTCAGCAGAAGATAGTGAAAGATAAGATTAAGCTGCCAGGATATTTGTCAAGTGAAGCACATGCACTGTTAAAAGGGGTAAGTTCTCTAGTCCACAAATAATTTCCTTTAGTTAATCTAGATCACAAATTAATCATCATCTGATCATTATATTATTATTTGCAACATAAAATAAGCTTTGCATAACTTTTTTGCCTCAACGTCGAAGGGTTTTGAGTACAATTAGGGTTTCATTTGGGCTTCACAACTAATGCATGTGACATGAACCTTTTTTTACCATTGACTTGAAATGGCTCAAGTTTTTATAGACGTGGATTTTTAGACATACAGTTTAATAAAGCTGTTTGGAATAATAGCATGGGAATAAGCGAAGAACAACTAATTAAACCTATCACAGATATTTTCATTAACTCTTCCATACACTAACTTAAGTGCTTATGTTAGATAAAACTCAAATATGCTCTTCCTGTAGGTTTTTTTTCTCTACATGAGAGATCATTTGAGCTTTCGTCCTATAATATTGATACTTTGCTACTGTGTTACAGCTGCTACAGAAGGAGGCGCCAAAGCGGTTGGGTTGTGGAGCTAAAGGGATTTCGGAAATTAAAGGGCACAAGTGGTTCAAACCGATCAATTGGAAGAAGTTAGATGCACGTGAAATTGAACCAAGCTTTAGGCCAGAAGTAGCTGGGAAGTACTGTGTTGCAAACTTTGAGAAGCGCTGGACTGATATGCCTGTTGTTGATTCACCAGCTGCAAGCCCAAATGGTGGAAACCCCTTCAAGGACTTCTCTTATGTCAGACCTGCAGCCTCTTTTCTTCAACAGAATAGCCCTGCTTGCTAAACTCCAATCCTTGCACTGGCTTAAGATTAATACTCTTTTTCTTTTAAGCACTGTCAAAGGGGAACTGCCATCAAGAATAATTTTCCTCTGCCTTTTTATTTGCAGCTATTTAAACTTTGTAATATGTGCCTTTATGGCTCTACGATTGTTGAGCTGACTTTGCTAGAACCTGTGATTTGGAGAAAATAAATTGTATTATTTATGCACTGTTAAACAAATTTTCGTAGCAGTTAGGGACAAAATGCTTAGCTTGTTATAATTTGCAACATTCAAAAGAATTGAAGTATATGCTGAAAGTAGCTTTTGCACATAACCTGCTTTATACTTTGGCAATGAGTTTCACCAAAAAAATAAACACCCTGCTAATGAAACCTGAAGAGATGATCATTAATTTTTTTTTGTTTCCATGTTAATATCTGTTATGATCGAATTTTCCTGTGGATTTACTTTTAAAATTTAGGAGGGACTATTTCTAAAAAAAAAGATTTACTATTTAAGTCAAATACATATTTTTTAAGGAGTGGCTTAAAAATGTTAATTTTTATTGTGACTACTTAATTTCACAATTTTTATTAAATATGCTGCAATCTTTATTAAAAATATTTTTATTAAAAATACCATACACCTTATAAAAATGCTGCAGTTTTTATTAAAAATATTTTCTTAAGAAGTGTCTTAAAATCATTAATTTTTATCATGAGCACTTTTATTATTTGGATTTCTTGGATGAGGTTTCAAGTAATTTTGAACCAAGAAAATGTATAGAAAAAAAATGGATAAAGTAATGAGAAACAAATGGCCTAAAGACCAACCTATGCTGACGTTATTTTATTTATTCATTTATTTCCATTTTCAAGTACAGGCTGAGAGAAACAAACAACGTTGTATTTTGTCTCAAACAGCAGCCATGGCTTCCTTACTCTCTACAACAACTACACTTCAACATACTCATAACAAAATATGTTTCTCTCCGCTAAAACTCACCACCCCATTTAACAATTCTTTCTTAACAAAACATTTCAATAATCATTCTATAAGGTGTAATGCATTTTTCGATATCATCCCCAAAGAAATATTATTGAGCAGCACTTTTTATTTGGATAAGTTTCAAAGTGTGAGCGAGGATTTATCAGACATGCAAAGGTTGGAGATTTTTCTCTTTGTTGGACTGACATGGTTGTACTTAACTGCAAGACCAGGTGTTCTTTTTGGTGCCATTGATGCATACCTTTTGGCTCCAATGCAATTGGTTTTGGATAGTTTATCCGGAAGGAGAAGCATGAAGAGGAGTGATTTCTTGATTGGTGATAAGATAGGAGAAGGGTCGTTCGGTGTTGTTTATTCTGCTGTTTTGGCAACAAAGAATGTGGATGCGAAAGAGAGGATTCAGAAGAATGGACGAGGTAAGATGGATGCTAAATCCAAGGATAAAGTCATTCTTAAAAAGGTATTATCGAGATAAGTCTCTTATGCTTCCTAACACAATTGTTTCATTGTTGGAAATGTCATGCCTTGTTGGAATATGCAGGTGAAGGTTGGAATTGAAGGGGCAAAAGAATTTGGTGATTTTGAGGAGTGGTTCAATTATAGACTCTCTAGAGCCGCTCCTGAAACATGTGCCAAGTTCCTTGGAAGTTTTGTAGCAGATAAAAGCAATTCTCAATTCACAAAAGGTGGAAAATGGCTTGTTTGGAAGTTTGAGGTGCTCTACCTAATATTTCTATAACACCGACGCCAGGCGTGTCCGTGTCTGTGTCGGTGTCAGACACTTGCGATTGTGTTTAATTTATTCATTTTCTTAAATTATTATCGGTGTTAGTGTTGTGTTTGCTGTGTTTGGTGTGTCTGTGCTTCATATTACCAACTATTCTATACACTAATTGCAGGGTTGTCCATATATCACAGGGAAGCCGTACTCTCGGGGATTACATGACAGATAAAAACTTCCCTTCAAACTTAGAGTCCATCATGTTCGGAAGTGTCTTGCAAGGTGTGGAATCTTCTAAAAGAAATTCACTTATCATCAAGCAAATAATGCGCCAAATTGTTACATCTCTTAAGAAAATTCATGATACTGGAATTGTACACAGGGATGTAAAGCCTTCAAACTTGGTTGTTACAAAACAAGGACAGATTAAACTCATTGATTTCGGTGCAGCAACCGACCTTAGAATCGGAAAGAATTTTGTTCCTGATTATACACCTTTGGATCCTGATTACTGTCCACCCGAACTATATGTGCTACCACAAGAAACACAAAGTCTTCCTCCTGAGCCAATTGCAGCTTTACTTTCACCAATCTTGTGGCAGGTTTTATTTCTGTTATACTATATTTATACTATGTATAAGTTATTTTCTTAAGTACTAAAATGGATTTCTGTTATTACTGTTCCAGTTAAACAGTCCTGATCTCTTTGATATGTATTCTGCTGGAATTGTACTCCTGCAAATGGCAATACCAACCTTAAGGTCTCAAGCTGCTTTGAAAAATTTCAATTTGGAAATGAGAACATGCGGATACGATTTGAACAAATGGAGGGACTCTACTCGCATGAAGTCTAACTTCCAAATCCTTGATAGTGATTCTGGTAGAGGCTGGGACTTAGCATCAAAGCTTATCTCCGAAAGAAGAAGGCGTTTATCCGCTGCTTCTGCTTTGAGGCATCCTTATTTTCTTCTAAGTGCTGATCAGGCAGCCGCAGTTCTTTCTAAATTTAGCTTTAGCACAAAATGAGCTGCTTATAAATTTTCGGTTTGTTTGAATGGTTTAATCGAGATCACATACATGTATAAACACCTGCGCGACTATTTGAAAGAGCTTATAGAAACAAGTTATAATATGTTCATAAACTGTTTTCAGCTTATTTCCATAAGCTCTGCTAAATAGCTTACGGAACCAACTTATAGTTTATATATAAGCCCTTAATTAAGCTGTTTATTTATTCAAACAAAGCTAAATATGTAACACAATCAGACTGATACTGCGAACCACATATTTATACATGTATGGCTTTATGTCACATAGCTTTACAATCGAAAACTTTACATAAGTTAGAATTCTTCATGAAAGAGTATCTTCTTCAATAACTTTTTCTTCTTACAACTCCATTGGCATTTGGAAGAGCACAATGAGTTGAACAAACCAAGCCTATAAGACTGACGAGATACAATACTTGAAGTGGAAGGAAATTTTGAGAAAACGATTGCGTAACCATCATCCATACTATCAGTTCCGTCAGGAAAAACCTGCCACAATAGGCTTCCAGCTCCACTCCCTCCTTTCTTTGTCGAGTTTAGAATGGAACTGTAAACAGTGCTTATTAGTGTGTCTCTATATGTTGAATTGTAGCCAGGATCTTTGGATGATACACCAAACTCAGAAAAAATAACCGGCATTCCAAGATACTTTTCAGCATCCTCTATGTGTGCCTCCATCCATGATTTCACAAACGAGATATGTGTATCAGAAATTTGCGGTGAAACCCTTCAAATAAGATAATTGATAGAGTTAGAAACTGTTGTACTATTCATATCAAAAGGTGCGAAAATTTGGATAAATGGTTAGCTTCGCAGAAGTTAGTTTTATAGTACTAGACTATATAATAACACTTCACATACTTACCAAGAGTCGGCATACATGTGAACAGAAGCGAAGTCCACACCAAGAACTTGGTGGTTCCTGATAAAATCAGTTCCAACCTGTTGAGCGTAAGTATTTGGATTGAACTGAAGTCTCTGCGGCGTTGAGGGGCCGTAAAATCCTTCTAGTCCAATCTCCACTAGGTGTTTCGGATCAATTTTCTTCACATGGAATGCCATTTCTTGTATCCAATCCTAGAATATACATATTCAAGTGAAAAGTAGTTAAGTTGAGTGCAACTACATGATATGTAAGGGGTGAAGAGTTTCTGTTTTGGTGGTCAGAAGAAGTTTACAAGGGGCAAACCTGTAATTTATCACCTGTGGGATCTGAGTTGCATCTAGGCTCATTCATCAATTCCCAGGCAAAAATGGTAGGATCTTCCTTATAAGTGATGTTTGTGAACGTGTTAACTCTATTGAGCACAGTCTACACAGTGAAACTCAATCAGTATTGAGGAATATAAGAATAACAATAATAATGTTTAAAGTAAAATCAGTGTAGGTTTTGAGGTGGAACTTGCCTTAACATGGGCCTTATAGTAGCTTCTAAGAGTTGGATGTGAGAAAAAGTCATCATCAGAGGTCAAGTTAAGGCCAACATCATTGCCCCATTTCACATACTGTGCTTTACCGCCATATGCCTCCCAATTGTTAGCCAATGATAATATCAACCTGATTTTGTATTTCTTTGCTTCACTTACCACAAAGTCCAATGCCTGTCACTCAAAATAGTAAAATTTACATTATATACGCTAACACATAGACACAGACACTAGTCAGACACCGAGACATCTTTGGTCAGAAAAGTCGGTGCAACATAGATGGCTATCAAATTTTAATCAAGTTAAGAGGCACCTTGAAAACTTCTTCATCATAAACTGAAGGTGATTTCTGTAGGGCTCGCCATTGGCCGTCATTGAAAGCCCAAGTTCTACAAACTGTCATACCTATCGAGGATGCTTGTTTGAAGACATCACTGACTTTTCCTCTGGTGGAGTTATCTGCAGCAAACATCATCAACCAATATGTGTTGAACCCGTTTATATAGAAAGGTTGATCATTCACCACAAACTGGTTTCCTTTCGTCTTCACCATTTGCCATTCGTCATCTTCAATATCCGACATTATTTCACTCCAATAGTTTGTGAAAGATTTTTCTACATGATTTTGGTCATCCTCTAATGCCTCTTCATCCACCATACTAAAAGCATTACAACATAGAATCAAAAGAAAGAATAGAAAAGTAACACATATTCCAAATTTCTCCATTGAGATTTGTTACTTAGCTACAATGTCCATGTCTATTGGGCCATGCTATTATATATATATGAACATCTTAAGTTAAGTATCTTACATAGAAAATGACCATATTCAAAAGATTAGCGGTAAAGTATAAACTACATTCTATATCTAACTTTAAAGTGAAGAAAATGTAATATATGTACACCATTGTAAACAAATGGTTTATGAAAGTGAAGGATAGGAGTAAAGTTGCAAAAACTTTACCTCTAATTCTTAAGGCACTTTCATGTGGGTTCCACAATTTAAACTTATAGAAATAACCTTTTGTTTGATACATCTAAACTACTTGTTATTAGTATTTTGAGTTTAATAAATAATCACAATGAGTATCTTAATTTTCCCTTATCTAAGACATAGTCATAATCAACTCTTGTTATTATATCTCCATCACATATATTCATATAGAACTAAGTGATGAAAATTTGCCAATAGTGTGAAAAAAGAAGATCATACTTGTGTGACGTTTCTGCCAAAAGTTGCTTGGAAGAGTTATGAGTAGAAGTTAATATGAAGAATTGTGTGTGAGGGATTTCCAAAACTAAGAAGAGTCCAAGAACACTAAGGTTAAAGACAACTTTGGAATGAAAGTAGCAACCTTCCTCCTAAGTGCATGGGGTAGGGTCAGTGGGTGTTCGACAAAACATAGGCTTCAATTAAGATAACTAAACTTTTTCTTATATATTTTTAACTCTATTATAAAGGCTGTGCTTTTATTTATCCATTATATTTGGATAGATGAAATGCGATACAATGGAGTGGAATAAAATTGATACAGAATTTATTTATTTATTTTTATTAAATGAAGTTGAATGGAGTGAAGTAAAATGAAGTTATATAGATTTTATTTAATTTTATTATTTATTATTATATTTTTCATTATTTATCATCTTGCAATTTGTCTTATTCTATCCTAATTAAATTTTCATTAAGTTTTGTTTCAGTCCGCTCTCCTTGTTTCATAAAAGTTATTTAAAAAATAATAATTCATCCAAATTAGAAAATTTTGAATACTAAAATATTTTTGTGTGTAAGTTATAAAAAAATAGATTGAATACTTCTAAATTTAAATGCCCAATTTAAAAATTATAATTGTATTAATTGAACATTACATGATTTATTTAAATTATATAAAAATATTAATTAAATATCAAAATATTTAAATATAAGAAATTTTGTTGTTTTTGAAATTACTAAAACACCCTTTCTTCTAATCCCGTCATGTCAGCATAAATTGGATATTTTGTGTCCAAATCCAACTTTTTCTAACCATTAAAGTGTTTTAATTCATTTCCAATTAAACTATTACTACTAATTAGCACAACATTGCCATTTGGTGAACCTACACTGCCTATCAGAACCACCTATTAGCATTTGGAGTATCTATGGTTTGCCTTTTTGCACATACTCCAAAGCTGTTTTTTTTCCTTCCAAAAATCACATGCCTTGCAAAATGCCTTTTTCAAGGAATTTCACTATGATAGCTGACCTAACATCCTCAACAACTCACTTTTGGTGTTTCTCTCTGCTCTCTTCTCTCTTCCTGTTGCTCCCACAATCAACGATGTCTTCTATTTTTCAAAATTTAAATTCCACCTTTTCATTTCCTCTGCTTTGGAACTAGGGTTTGTTTTTGTAACCATATCTCATCGTTATCTCTTCCTCTTCTGCCTTCTTCTCATTTCCTCTTCTTCTTTCTTCAACATGGAAAGACTTCAAAGAATGTTCGCTCTCCTCAAGATGCTTAAACACGGTAAAGTTTCCCTTTTTAACCTAATCAAATCAGTGTCTATCTAATTTTTAAAATTAAGGTTTTATCAATTTTGATTTTGTCATATCTTGAATATAACAGTATGACTGGTGTTCCATGGAGGTTATTGATAACGCGGAAATGCATCTTATATTTGATGTATTTTCCAATGATTAACTGTATTATTCTAGTCCGAATTCCGATTATTCCGCAAGCTTGCAAGATGTAGAAAAGTGCGAAAGGAAGGAACAAAAGAAGAGAAGAAGGCCAGAAAACCACAAAATGCAAGGTTTGGAGGTGTGACGGTCGTCACAGCCCACCACGACCGTCATGCTCATCATTTAAATGTCACAATCGTCACAACCTGGCCACGATCGTCACGGTCCTAATATCAGTCACAACGTTCACAACAGAAACGTGGCAACAAAGGGGAGAAAATTTAGGCATGATTCAGTATGCCCTCCCTGAGAATTCTCTCCCTCAACTTATTTTCTTCCGATATTTTCTCTTGCAACCAAGGATATAAAAGGACGGGAGTTGGAACTGAAAAGGGGGCTTCATATTTACATACTGAATTGCTGCCGAATTTCTGTTGAAGCCATTTTTGCACTATTATTGTTTTTCCTTCCATTTTTCCTTCAGTCCAAAGCATTATTATTTTATTCCACATTTTATTTTAACATAGTAGAATCCTGCCGATATTATGGAGGACTACTCGAATATCAAGTATCAGTAATATTTACAGGTTCTTATTAATCCAATGCTTGTTTTATTATCTAGTATGCATGTTATATCATTTTATTGTTTATGTTTATTTATGTTTGCATTAGTTAACATGTCGAGTTAAACTGATTATTTCAGTATGTAATCCAATTAGTAAGACGGGATTCGATAACACCCGGTGTGCCTTCCCTTTTTACAAACGATTTTTTTTTTTTGGTTGTAGTTTTTAAATCTAATTTTCTAAATACCCTTTGTCACGAAAGTGAGAAGCTATTTATAACGGTTTTACCATGAAAGTGGGAAATTTATTAAGGTTCGAGCCGACACGTGAAAGCGTGGAGTTTGAACCGGATAGTAAAAACTAGACATTAATTTTAAACACAACGAGAGCGGTTTAAAATTATTCAGAATTTATTTATTTTTAAAAAGTATTTTAAACCCTGAATGAGACAGCGAGAGCATACATTCCGCCTTAAAAATATGGCTCGAGTCAATAACCAACGTAAGGCAAAGGTCTTTAAACGAGTATTTTCTTCTGAAAAGTATTTGCAAAAATTAAAAAGCATCAGTGACCTGTCGAATCCCTGATAATTAAGGCATTACATACTGATATTCCTCTATCGATATTTCTAAAACTAATAACCTTTATTTCTTTTAGATTTCATAACTTAGCTCTATTCTCTAAAAAAAAAACATCTTCCGCCATAGCTAAACATAGTAATAACCGATAACACTAGTTTGATTACCAGTCCCTGTGGGATCGATATCTTTATTACTACGCGATAGACTGTGCACTTGCAGTTAGTACCGTTAGATTCAGATAGTCACGATCAAGTTTTTGGCGCCGTTGCCGGGGACTCGTTTAGTCAATAGTGTAATTCTCTGTTGCGCAGTATAGACTAAGGTTACCGTTTTATTTTCCTTTTTTCCCGTTCGTCGATTGTATGCCAAGTACTCGCTCATAAAGCGACAACTTACAACCACCAATCGCCGAACTAGAGCGCTTCTTACATCTAAGGCACCGCATAATAGAGTATTAACGTAAACATAATATACCTGATCTTCTCGCTCATACTCCTGATCTTGTTGAAGAATCAAATATAGCCGAAGGACCTCAGAACAGACCTCTGAAGCACTACGATACCCCATCTCAACAAGAGCCTCATAGTAGTATTGCTACCCCTGCTATAAATCGAAACGACTTCGAGTTAAAACCTTCATTGTTTTCAGCCATACAACAACACCAATTCTCGGGAGTGCAATGGATGATCCGAATGAACACTTAACCAAGTTTGTACAGTACGCAGACACGGTAAAAGAAAATGGTGTAACTCCAGACGCAATAAGATTATGTCTTTTTCCTTTCTCTCTTAGAGATAGAGCTTAGGCTTGGTTGAAATCCTTTCCATCTAACTCTGTTACTACATGGGAACAATTGAAGAACGTCTTCTTAGCACGATACTTTCCGCTAAGCAAAACTGCTATGCTAAGAGCTCAAATCAACGAATTTCGACAAAAGGATTCCGAATCTCTCTACGAAGCATGAGAGAGATACAAAGATACAATGAGAGTGTGTCCACACCACGGTCTTGAAGACTGGGTGACTATTCATACCTTCTACAATGGGCTTCTGTACAATACCAGATTAACAGTAGACGCTGCCGCGAGCGGTACACTTATGGATAAGCCATACAACGAAGCCTATCAACTAATTGAAAACATGTCTTAAAACCATTACCAATGGGGAGGTGAGAGAACTCCAGTAGAGAAACCCAAAACAAAAGGTGGGATGTACGAGATCAGTAGTCTTGAAAAATTCCATGCTAAGGTAGATGCCTTGACGCAAAAGATTGACAATTTAACCATATCACCACCAGCCACCGTGGCTGCTGTAACTCCGAACTGCGAGTTATGTGGAATCACTGGTCACGCTGCGCCCGAATGTAAATTATTGACAGGAACCCCCGCAGACCAAGTGAAATATGCTTAAGGAAACCCTTAGTCGAACACCTATAACCCAGGCTGGAAAAACCATCCGAAATTTTCTTACAAAAGTGATAACACACTGTATGCACCTAACCAAACACCTGCTGCACCACCAGGATATCAAAAACCAGCCGTAGTTGCTCCTAACGTCCCTAGAAAATCCAACCTTAAATTGATGATGGAAAAATTCATATCTACCCAAGCTCAGACAAACAAGGAATTCCTGAATCAAGACATACACACTAGTGAGCATATTAAACAACTAGTCAACAAAGTAGACGCTTTAGCCACCTATAACAAAATGCTTGAAACACAGATATCACAAGTGGCTCAACAACAAGCACCTGCTGCTGCACCCGCTGGCACATTTCCTGGACAACCATAACCTAATCCGAAAGGTCATGCAAACGTAGTCATATTATGAAATGGAAAAGAACTGGACGAACCGATCGATCCTAGGAGTCAAGACCCAACCATGTATCAAAAACCTGTTAAACAGACAAAGAAAGAG